TGTGTAAGACACTGTTCTAAGCCTTGGAAATATAGCATTGAATGAATCAAATGAAAATCACATCCTAACTTACATTCTTTTCTTTTTTTTTTTTCCTAACTTACATTCTTGAAGGGGGAGAGTTAATGAACAGATCCATCACAAAATATACTGTCAGATGATAATGTTTTATGGGGAAAACTAAAGCAGGAAATGGGATTCAGTGTAGCAGAGGAGGCAGGTGGAGGGTGGGTTGATCTTTTCAAGCTTGGTTACTGGCAAGACAGTATTGAAAAGGAAACCAGAAGTACGCAGGGGGGCAAGATGTGCAGGTGTCTAAAGGATGAGAATCCAGAACAGAATAGCAACTGCAAAGACCCTGGGTTGATAACATGCTACTTGGGTAGAAGGGACAGTTGGGAGACCAGTGTGGCTGGGACTGAGTCACCAGGGGGAGGGTAGAAGAAGAGAGGTGTAGGAAGATCAGAGGGCTATTATGAGGTCATGTCTCTGGCTCTCAGATAATAGCCATGTGAGGGTTCTGGGTAGGAAAAAGACATAATCTGACCAGCAGGATCACCTCAGCTCTGTGTTAAGGCTAGACTCAAGAGGACAAGGGTGAAGCAAGGAGACTTGTTATAAGGCTATTGCATGAATTTGTCATAATTTTCCTGTGTACTTATATGAAAAAAAAAACATAAGTGAATCCCACCACTGTGTACATCCACAAGAATGACATCCTAATTAGAATAAGATATAAATATGCATGTATAATTTTATCCAAATGAATTCTACTATCATGTATAACTAAAAAGAATCAATTTTAAAAATGGGGGAAAAAAGGCTATTGTAGTATTCCAGGTGGGAGACTTGTGGATCCAAACAGCGTGGGAAGGAGATGTGAGACACAGTTAGCCATATGGGTGTACCTGCAACTCATCATTACCAATCAGTGAGCCCTCACTGTCAATAAGCTCCATTGCAAATATTCCACTTGGACTAATTCTGCCTCACTTGTACTTCCTTCTAGTTCCCCAGTTACTACCCCTTTTAAAAACCACATTAGAAGCTAAAAATCATTGGTTCTACCATCTTTTTATTGTCCCTCCTGGCTTCACTTCCTCCTTCATTCAGCTTAGATTCCATAGTCCTGTTTAAATTCCTTGCATAGACTCTTAGTTCCTGTTGTCTTTTTTGATGGTGTTGACCTCATCCAGCCAAACCACAAATCTCATTAGTTACAACTTTCTGTCTCCTGCATGCCTGCACCCAGACAGCTGAATGTCACTGGAGAGAACCCAAAAAACATGCTCACTGTTCTCGCTGTGACCATACAGAAAGGAGACCCTTGAGGCTTCTTGACATTCCTACTATATTCCCCAAGCCCTTCTCTTTCCTTACCTGACTTCTTCATACCTTTGCTTCATTAAAAATCCAGTGCCTCCTCTTTCATCCTCATTATTAGCCTCCTATTTTGCCAAGAAAATAAATGTAACCAGAAAAATGTCTTCTCTGTGTTCCCACTGTCACAGTTAGCCCCTACCCCTGCAAATCTCTGCTGTCTCTGGGGTGCATTTTCTAAGGCAAAGCCTTCCACTTAGTGCTGGACCATTCCACACTCCCTGACAGCACTCCAGTAATCGTTCCTGTTCTCTCAAAATCAAGCCTGACGTTTCCTATATTTAAAACCAAAAGCTCCCTTTTGCCCCTCTCCTTGTCTAGCTAGCCTAAAAATTAAAAGTGTTCCTGCAAGTGAACGCTTGAATCTAGGAAAACCAAATTTGGGGGGCAAAGTAGGACTGGTGAAAGGATCAGTCCTGCCCAGTATCAATGAAATCCGAAATCCAGTGCAAAAATTTTTGCAGAGTTTCCAGTAAACTCGGACTTTTCTGCAAGCTATTCCTTGGCTATCCCCAAAGCAGTGGTCCTCAAGAGTTTCCTGTACTCGCACTCACTGGTTTTATCTCCTCTCCTCCCATTCTTACATAAACTCACTACACTTTTCTTCCCTCACCACCTGGAACTGCTGCTATCAAGCTTATCAGTTACCAAACAGAATGACACTTCCCAGGCTTCATTCCATTTGCTTATCAGCAGCATTTGATGCCCATGGTCCTGCCCTCCACATTGAAATTCTTTCTTCACTTGGCTTCCAGAAGTTCCATTGCACTATTTTGTGTCTCCATGCCTACCCAGCTTTCTCACTCTTCTTTGACAATGGTTTTCATCTTCTTTATCTCTTTTGAATTTCATGGAGCTCTTTTCTTGGTCTAAACTCACTTTTCGATGATTTCACTGAGGTTCATGATTTTAAATGTCAGCCATATTGTGACATCAAAAACCAAAATTATAACAGATTTTATTTAGAAATCTTGATTAGCTTTATTTGTGATTCTAGACACAGGAAATACTTTTCCTAGACTTGGGAAGTACTTATTCTTTATAAAGTTGGATAAATGCAAAGACATTGGTTTTATCAATAGAACAGGGGTGAGGAAAACAGGAATGAAGAACAAAAAGTGGACTGGTCATTTAAAGTTACTCTCCCTGTAACACAGGAGCAGGGAAATAGACAACAGAAAAACAACTGACTGGTTGACATGAGGTTACTTCATATTACTTAGTAAAGATTAAAATAGAACTAAAAAGCAAAAAAATAAAATAAAGAGAACTTCATTGTCACACAGATTAAAATTGGCCTGTTGGAGAATTTGGCTCTTACCTTTCTCTTAAATTCTTGGAAGTTCAAATGATAATTTAGTTTCAGTTTGATGCCATGGAGCTTTAGCATGATTGACACCATGTTGAGTTTTAGGCTGGTCTCTTGGTGCCTAATGTGGAGGCTTAGACCGTGGTTTCCTATAACTGTTACCACTGACAACCCTAAATATATATTCAAGCCCTTATCTCTCCCTAGAACTTTTGACAAACCTATCCAACAGTGTGATCCATGTCGCCTTTATAGGGTGACATTGAAAGTTTTTAGGTATCCAGACCCAAATCCTGACTTTCTGCCCCTAAATTTGCTTTCTTTGTATTTCCTCTTAGTAAATGACATTTCTAAACTTAATTGCTCACGTCAGTAATTTTAGAGTCAGCCTGTGATAGATTTCCAGCACCATAACAAAATATCTGATATAAATATCTTAAAAGTTGGAAAGATTTATTTTGGCTTGTAGTATCAGAAGTTTCAGTTCCAAGGCCAAGTCTTGGCCTTGTTGCTCTGGATGCCTGTGGTGAGGCTGAGCATGATGGCGGAAGCCATGGTGGAGCAAAGCTGCTTGCATCGTAGGAAGGGGCAGGGTCCCAAGATTCCCCTCAAGGGCACACTCCCAGCAGCCTGGCTTCCTCTAGATAGGCCCCCCACTCCTAAAGGTTCTTCCACCTCCCAAGAGCACCATCAACTGGAGACCAAGCCTTCATACAGGAGCTTTGGGGGGACATTTCAGATTTAAACCATAATACATCCTTAATTCTTCTTCTGCCCTAGATTCAATATTTAAATAAATCATGCCAGTTTTACCTTGATGAGCTGTCCACTTTTTGCCACTTGCTAATGTACCTGAATGGTGACAGTAATTTTATCCATTGAAACTCATTTAGATTTTTAGTAACACCTATAAGTCACAACAAATTTTATGACTATGGTTTCTAATAAAATTTTATATAATTCCCATTTAGTTGAACACAAAATATAAGTGAAAATCAGGAAATGATTTTCTTGAATGATTTACAAATGTTTCTGAAAGTCAATTCTAAAATAATAATTTCAAAAATTACTTGTTCTACAGCAGCATCAATGGAATGAATATTTAACTCGCCAAATTATCACTTCCGAGGAAGATACTCATTTGGTTTTATTGGTCCTATATTGTTATTTCAAATATATCTTCATTCCATCTAGTTAATATTTGTATTAAGATCTCATAAATAATGAAGGACTTGTTTATTGCCCTATAATGTTGATAAAATACGGAATCTGGAGCCATATTGTTTGAGTTTAATACTGGCTCTACTGATTTCTAGTTATATTAGTATAGAAAAGTTTCACATTTTCTATGAGTTAGTGATAATGATATTATGTACCCCAGGATTTCTTAGTAGGGTTAAATGAGATCATGTACTTAAAATGCTTAGGACACAGAAAAGACACATGTACTGTGCTAGTAGTAAAAGAATTATATAGCAGAATATCACTAGCAATCCTTGGGGAACTTGAGGAATAAAATATTTGAAAGGTTAAAGACATTGCAAGGTCTCAGGAATTGTTCAAGACAACCATAAAAGAGACTTCTAAAGGCAATAGGTACTAATTATCTATAAAGTAAGAGAACAAGCCAGCAAATATCTTAAACGTTTAAATAAGAGAGAAAGATTACTTCTACAGTGGTAGTGAAAATCAGGAAATGATTTTCTTGAATGATTTACAGTAGTAGCTTGAAATAATTTAAGATGAATTTTTTGTTTTTTTAAATACCCAGTTTCAATTACAGTAAAATAGAAATCCATACCCATGAAGTACCAATTTTTTTAGACTTAAGATGATAAAGCAAAGGACTTCAGTAAAAACTACTGATGGGAAACTTTGATTAGATGCCTTAAGAGAAATCCTCTGAAATACAGAGGACTACTTATGCCCACCAGGAAGCTACCCTTTATATTACTTCCACTACCCTCTGATCTATTGCACTGTTGATCAGGCAGTTTGATCTGTGAATGTAGTTTAAATTTATTACAGGGAATATTATTTACATCTGTATCACTGTGGACATTTCTTTTTCCTGGCACAAGCATATACTTATTGAAAACATAAATTTAATTAACAAATGTTGACAGCTGATCCTTAGTGACTTGATTATTTATGCCTTCCAAATATAGACCTACTTTCTTGATATATAACTAGTTGCCATTTACCCCAGGACTGTGAAGTTGTCTCTACAAATGGACAAAGGAATTTTGAAGTGTGAACCAGGAAAGAGGAAATGAAAATATCTCAAACCTTTATCCTTTTCCCTCTCTAGTTGGCCCGCCACAACAAACTGTTACAGCAGATGCTCAAACCGGGATCAGATCCAGATGAAGGAGATGAAGCCTTAAAATATTATGCCAACCACACCGCCCAGATTGAGGTAACCATCTACTATTTCTTGAAAGGGACCAACTGTGAAAAAAAAAAAA